GTCTGTAGTAGACTCCCACCATAGTATCCCCTGTGCCGTGTTTCCCACGGATTTTAACCCAGTGGGTTTTCTCAAAGAGCTTCCCCAGGACCGATCCCTCCCAGTTTTGTCTCATATTCAAATTTACTCAAGAAGCGCTTAAGGGTGCACCGATACAGATTTTTGATGCCGATACCAATAGCCAATTTTTAAGGAGGCATATTGGCCAATACCAATACGATTTCCAATACCAGCCCAGCAGCTTGAAGAGCTGCATGCAGCTGTTAAGTTTGGTGTGGTGGAAGGGGAAGGGGGAGGGAAGTGGAATGGTTGGGCAGATCAAGGCCCCCACTGTGAGGCAGAAGCAGGGCTGGGGCAGAAACAGGGGCAGGAGCTGGAGCAAGCGCTGCACAGCCAGGGTGGGGCGGACACAGAACGGAGCCATGGCTCATCCAGGGGGTATGAGGGGGTGGTGACACACACCACTGTGCACCACTTCTCTAGGAGCTGCTGATTCAGTGGCTCTTGCTGCTCCTGCTGCTCATCCAGGAGGATGCTGGGGGGTGGTGTGCCCCCGGATTTGGGCAGGGCAGGGCAGGCTCTTTCCAGTGGGGCAGGGCTGTGTGTGGGGCTGGCAGTGGCAGCTACCCCAAAATTTGCCATAGCCCTGCCCACCGAACCCCGATCCCAGCACTGCCGCCACCCACACAACCCTGTCCCACTGGGAAGAACCTGCCCTGCCCAAATTTGGGGGTGCACCCCCCCCACGCCCTCCCGGACGAGTGGCAGGAGCAGTGGCGGGAGCCGCCAGGTGAGCACTGGATGAGCTGCCAGATTAGCGGTTCCCAGACCAGCGACACACAGCTGTGGGAACTGCCCTCCCCCTCCCCGTGCCCCCTCGGACCAACGGTGGCTCTGTCCCATGCCCTCCTCACCCTGGCTAGTCCCAGCCCCAGGCATCACCCTCACCGCAAGGCTCTTGATCTTCCCCCCCCACACCCCTTCGCTTCCCCCTCCCCTTCTACCACACCACACTTACCAGCTGCATGCAGCTCTACAAACTGCCCGGCGGTGCTCTTCGATGCCTACATGCTGTGCTGCAGCTGCGCGCATGCATGGGCTATTTATCAGCCAAATTATCAGCCACATCAGGCCGATTTCTGATACAGTCAATTTTCTTTATATTGGTGCCGATCCAATATTGGACCAATGTATTGGTGCATCTCTGGAAGCATTCTATTCCAGCATCCGAATAATTAATAAATACATTGAACAGCACTAGGCCCAGGACAGACCCCTGTGGGACTCTACTTGCAAACCACCCGCCATTCTTACATGGATCCATTTATAATTACCCTTTGCTTGCAGCTACAGCCACTTGTCTGTCTATCCATCTTACAATAGTTTTGTCTAAACCATCTTTCTCCATTTTGTTTATGAGAAGGTCATGTAGGACTTCGTCAAAAGCATTGCTGAAGTCCAGATAAGCTATACAGGCAACCCCTACTTAACGCGGTTTCAGTTAGCATTATTTCGCTATAGTGCTCATTTAAAATTGATACCCCATTCCACTGAGAGCTCAGCCAGTTTCGCTATAGCGCTCAGTGGAATCGGGGAGTTTCAGTGGGCAGGCAGGGAGAAGCAGCGGCAGCATTGAATGGGGGGTGAATGAGTGGGGGTGTGGGCATGAAGGCCCAGGGCAGGGTGGCAGGAGTGTGGGTCCAGGCTGGCACATGGTGCTGAAGCAGGTGGGGGGTGGGGAGAAGTGGCAGCACCAAGAGGGGAGGAACTGGGGCCCAAGCCAGTGCCCAGGGCCAGGGCCAGCGGGGGCCCGCACCCAGGGTGGAGGGCAGGAGTGTGGGGCCTGCACTGGTGTGTGGGGCCTGTGCCGGGGCCCAGAGCCAGGACCAGCGGGAGCCTGCACCCAGAGCGGGATGGCAGGAGCACCATTGCCTGGTCTGGCACATGGTGCCAAAGCGGGAGAGTGGTGGGGGGAAGAAACAGCAACAGAAGCGAGGAGCGTGGAGCCCACACCAGTGCCTGGGGCCAGGGCTAGTAGGAGCCTGCACCCGGAGTGGGGAGCAGGAGCACAGGGCCCTCACCGGTGCCTGGGGCCAGGGGTGGCAGGGGCCGGTGCCCAGAGTGGGCCCCTTGCCAGCCAGTACCCAGGCTGGCAAGTGGGGCCAGAGAGGCCAGCAGACAGGTGAGGGGTGTGGGGAAATGCAGCAGCAGTGAGAAGCGGTAGAGTGGGGGGCAGACATGAGCACGCGACCCGTGCCAGTGCCCAGGACTAGGACCACCGGGGGCCCAGAGCAGGGCAGCAGGAGCACAGGCCCAGGCTGGCACATGGGGCTCGAGCACCAGCGGGTGGACATTCTGTAAATGTCACATGAGCACTTTGGAAAACCACCTCAAGAGAGAAAACTGAACTGGTCATAAACAAAGTGCTGTCAGACTAGCACAGTAACCAAGTGAAAAAACAAAGAACTCTTTTCTTCTCCTTTAGAGATTTTCAGTAACAATAACTAATTAGAGTTTCTTATACCAGTAGATAAAGTTTTCAGACAAATATGATTTTCATTTGTGATAACCTTTCAAAAGGTGCCAAAAATGTTACATCATTTGCAAAATAATATAAAATACTTCAAATGATCATCATCTCTAACTTCATAATGGTATTAAATTCTAGGTGTATCACTCCAAAATCTCCAGTGTACAAATATCTAGATCTGCATGACCTCATATTTGCTCTGAATTCAACAGTTATCCCCCCAGGTAATGAACACATACCTCCGAGCTTCCCACCTAAGATGTCCAGCTAGCTCCAAAATCTGCCAATTTTTGTTTCATATGTCTGTACTTACTGCTCAAAACTTATTACTTTAGAGCAGGGGTGGGTAAAATGCGGCCCTGCGGGCCAGATGCAGCCCGCCAGGCCATTCTATCCAGTCTGCAGGGCCCCTAAAAAATTTAGAAAGTGAATATTTATCTGCCCTGGCTGCCTGTCATGCAGCCCTCGATGCCTTGCCAAAACTCCCACCCCTGCTTTAGAGTTAAATATTATGTCACTCGTGGATTCAGAAAAGCAATTATTCTATTATTTTCATTCAAAAGTTAAATTGAGATTTTTGACTCATAAACCCCTTTTGATTCCACTGGATATGTAACATATTCCAGCATACTATGGCATAAGGGACTCTGTAAATCTTTCATTCTGCATTGCATCTTATTGTATGAATAGTTAGATAGTTCCAGTGTTTACCAGAGTTACGGTATATAACTAGATTGGTGAAACATCATGAGCTTCCAAAGAGAAACAATTGTTAATCCCCCATTCACTTGTTTTACTTTTCTGTTTCTTGGTTACACTTCAAGTGTGCGTGCCACTGCTCTCATTAACAGCAGCACAGCATTGTGAATAAATGTTCCCATACTGTTTAAAATATCTACACCCCTCATGCTTCAGCAACTGAGAGGATCCAAGAATGTTTTTATCTCACTGGGAAAGAAATAGATGGAAACAGCCACACAGAGTCCACATGTGGCCCCTGGCTTAAAGTGTTCATAAAGGTTATATTTGGATACGATGCTGGTTGAATTGAAATACTATAATTTTCAAATACAAAGTATGAGTCATGAAGGACAAAACATTAACTCCCCAGAAGCATTGCTAAAAATTCACATGACGCAAGATTAAGTTAACTGTAGTCTATTCTAAGGGCTAAGATGTTGTCCTCTGTACACTGTGTTCCATGGAGCCAAATTCATACCTGATAGCCCATAAATCACTCTACCACAGCGATCATTTCAGAGTTTTCAGAAGTGTGATCATTTGGCAGGAAAAAAGATTACAGTAAATTCTAGCTGCGTTTTCTAGATGCAATAATCCAAAATTACAGTACTTCACACACAGAGCAAACACAGAACAAGTTCACTTGGTTTAAAAAAAAACTGAGATAAAAATATATTACTCTTATTTTTCATTACAATTAGAAAACTTTTAGGTTAGAAAGGAAGAATGACTTAAGTAACTTCATTTTAGCAGGGATTTATAGTGTTACCAGAGTTAGGGTTACATCAGCATTTCCATAAAATTATATAGGCTAAAGATTCCATTCCAGGCTGAAACTTGGCATAAAAGTCCTCATCCCAGGCATAAATTTTCTACCACCACAAATCTGGTTTGGCTGGTTATATTTTATAAAACTAGAAATTAAAAAATAGCAGCGAAAGTAGAATCTTAAAATAGCGACTGTCCATTTAACAACTCATGTTAAACTAAACTCAGTCAACTAGATTCATCAGCATTTTGCTCCAGTTTTTACGCTAGAGTTTAGTGGTGTCACTCCACAGAAATGCAGTGGCAGTCAAGCCAGTTAATTTATTAAAAGGCTAGATGTCCTTCATATTACAAACCAAATTTAAATTAGACAGCAGATAAATATATTCAAGGAGAGGCTATAAGCTCATACAAAGTATTTTGTATTTAAAATAGAAATGTTGTCATTCACATGGAGTAAGAGATCTAAAGTAAACCAAATAAAATAAGTAAAGTCAAGTATAATGTAACCTACACAGCAAAAGGTAGTTTGTTCATTATTTTCATAAGCATGGCTTGATTTTCATTTAAAATGCTGTAACCTGGTTCTTGCTGTAGCCTATTTATTGCAAATTCCATACAATAAAATCCTCGGCATGTTAGAATTTTACTTCAGCAAATATACATAGATTTTTTTGTTAATTAAAAGTAAATATCCATTACCGCACTACTTTCACAACCATGAACTTATAAAAAGAGTGAAAGGAAAAGAAGCAGTTAGAAA